CGCTGTATTCAGGTCAGGTGACAAGGCTACTTTCACTTCGAAAAGTTGTGCTTGCTGAGAGGAGTTTCGTCAAAGCTGACTAAAAGTGATCGAGGATGGATAATTTCGACGAACTTGATCAACCTGTGATATCTTCTTCAGGGTGAAAAAGGAAAATAAAAGCTGAAACGTTTTCACGGAAGCTTGCAAAAGCAGCGCGTTACAATGTTGAGGGAAAAGCTCCGTGTATTGCGTGTAATCACATCCATAACGTTTATGATCACAACAACAACGTTTGTCAGGCATCTACATTGTCATCTGAGGAGATTACAAAGATTAAACAAGTGTTTTTTAAAACTCTAAAACATGAAATGTGGAGTTAACGTTATCTGCTTTTGCCAAAAATCGACTGTTGGAGTTATCTGCTTTTGTTATATTTGAATGGTCAGCTTTGGCTTATGATGCAATAAAGATTACTAAAGTCAACAGATGTTACAGTAACAGACCTACAGTACCCATTTCTGTGTAAAAATAACAGAAGTAATTTTGACCCCCAGTAATTTGGCTCCAAATCTCAAGTGAAATTGTCATTTTGACCCCCTACTACAATATAGTGGAATATACATCCATGAGATTTAATATTTTGGCTTTTCTTCATTATTTATCTTTGTTTTTCTTCAGAAAAAAGAATAGCATTATAAATGTCTTTACTGTCATATTTGATAAATTTAATGCATATTTGTGACCCTGGACCACAAAACCAGTCATAAGGGTACATTTTGTGAAATTGAGATGTATACATCATCTGAAAACTGCATAAATAAGCTTTCCATTGATGTATGGTTTGTTAGGATAGGACAATATTTGGCCGAGATGCAACTATTTGAAAATCTGGAATCTGAGGGTGCAAAAAAATCCAAATATTGAGAAAATCATCTTTAAAGTTGTCCAAATTAAGTTCTTAGCAATGCATATTACTAATTAAAAATTAAGTTTTGATATATTTACAGTAGGAAATTTACAAAATATCTTAATGGAACATGATCTTTACTGAATATCCAATTTTTGGTATAAAAGAAAAATTTATAATTTTGACCCATACAATGTATTGTTGGCTATTGCTACAAATATACCCCAGCGACTTAAGACTGGTTTTGTGCTCCAGGGTCACATTTGTTGAATGTGTTTAATATATGTTTTTGTTGCTGTTCTGTGTAAGGTGTCAGTGGCAGGTGGAGGCTAATGGTGCGATCTCTCCTGCCCTCACGCCGTCTCCGTCTCCTCTGCCTCTCACCATTGATGAGGAGCGAGAGTTCACCTATCCTTCAGACGTCCTCATGCCGGGGGCTTGCTGTGAGCTCCCCCGCATCCACTTACCCCCGGGCATTATGGGCCGCCTGAGGGAGCTGTCTGGGAGAGGCCGGCCTCAGTTTCGCCCCAGCATCAAGTGAGCACATGATATGGAGACTACATATGAGGGGAATGTAACTTAATGATAGCAGAACATTTAATGTGTAGAGGACTAGAAACCCCACTTCCAAAAGGAAGGAATCAGTTATCCGTTTATTGATTCAAAAGTAAAAATATAAATTAAACACTTTACAAACTTGCCTAATATATTGACATATTAAAAAAAAAAAATAGTTTGAAACATGTTGTTAAACAATAAATAAGTACATATTTCATTGGTTGCTTCCATATGATCAAATGCAAAATTTAATAGTCAGTAAAGTTGAATTTGAAGATGGACAAAGAAACGTTAAATAAATAATATTAAACGATATTATATATTAAATTATATATAATATGTAATATATATAATTGTATTGTTATACTACAAATTTAAACATATAATCAACAATGTTTAATACATCAGCAACATTTTACAACTCATATGCATGCTGTGTGATGCTGTTATTATCTCATATGCATGCTGCGTGATGCTGTTATTGTATCCTGCGTCTGTGTTTGTTTCAGAGTGTAGCTGAACTGGAGCAGAAGTGGCAGAATGAAGCAGAAGAAGCTCAGCAGGGCAAACTGGAGAACAACTCTCCCTTCTTCCACGACTATCACTTCTTTGAGGTCGGTAATCTGAGACATATAATTGTTATCCTTTGTGAAAAGAAGTACACTTGGCATGGTTTCAAAAAGAGTACTTATTATGGAATAATATACTTTAAAAGTGTGCGATTAAAGGTGATGTTTTTAGACACTTAATTGCATGTTAATTGCAATTAAATGAAAATGTATTGTAGTTTAAATTTATATTAGATGCAATTAGCTGAACTTAAGAGTGATTTTTGACCTCTTTATATGTAATTACTTCTATTGTCTTTGAAATATGGTTATTAAGTACTGTTCAATGTACTGACAAACATTTATGATAAACAAAAATATACTTTGATGTCATTTATATTGCAACTTGTATCTCGTGTATTTAAATATATTTTTGTAATTTCACATTTGTTATGTTGAAGTTGAAATTTAGTGCATTTAAAATATATTAACGCTAAATGTAATAGCGAATCACACACTACAGTTAAAATTACTATTAAAAAGTACTTTCCATGTGCTTTAGTATGTAAGTCAACACATCAAAATAAGTGCACTTCTTTACAGCGTGACAAAAGATTATTGAAACATAATGATTTAAAATGTACTTTAAAGAAACATATTTTTTGACATTAATTACAAAGGTCACTTTCTAAAAGTGTACATAGAAACATAATCATGAAAGTGTCTCTCTTTAAGTCACTTAAGTGGCCTTTTATTTCATTAATACAATATGTGACCCTGGAGCACAAAACCAGTCATAAGGGGACATTTTTTTAAAATTGAGATTTATGAATCATCTGAAAGCTGAATAAATAAGCTTTCCATTGATGTATGGTTTGTTAGGATAGGACAATATTTGTTCGAGATACAACTATTTGAAAATCTGAGGGTGCAAAAAAATCAAAATATTGAGAAAATCATCTTTAAAGTTGTTCAAATTAAGTCCTTAGCAATGCATATTACTAATGATAAATAAACTTTTGATATATTTACGGTAGGAAATTTACAAAATATCTTTTATAAGATATCTTTTTATATCTTACAAAATAACAGCTAATGCCTAACAACGCCCCTTAGCTCTTATAAATCCACTGTAAACCACGGCTTCTTGGGGCTTATTGCTTTATCAACATTCGGAATAATTTGTAATACATAATTATTCTCTGTATTTTGAAGTGCCCACGATAACAATATCGTGCATATTCATTATCGTGATATATCGCATTACTGAATACCGGCACATGTCTACTTTGTTCATAACCACTCCTCAAGCCCCCAAAAAACCCCAGCCGTCGCCCATCGACAGTCATTAAATGTACTCGTGCTGAATCGCCAGTTCCTTTAAAGAGTAATAGAGCCATTTGTACTTGAACAGCTGCAGAGAGTGTGGGAATTTATCAACTGTATTCAGTGGTTTGATTCTGCTTATGCTGTAATTGCAAAGATTGATTCTTTTGGTTTGTCTTGTGGCCCACAGAACAAAATGAAGGAGCTGGAGCTTCTGTGTTCACTGAAGGAGGTTCCTCTGGACTGCACGGATCCAGAAAACGCTGTGATGGCTCTGAGGTATGATGTGAAACACATTCTGACTTCATCTACGCTACTGTTCAAAAGTTTGGGATTAGTTTTAAAAAAAAAATTAATTAATGTTTTTTCTTCGCAAGGATGCTTTAAATTAATCAAATGTGACAGTAAAGATATTTATAATGTTACAAAATATTTAAGTTTTTTATTAAATCAGTGCAGCCTTGGTGAGCAGAAGAAACCAGTGTTATTGTAGTTAACTAAAACTGAAATTAAAACTAAAACCATAAAAAAATCGTTACTTGAAATAAAATAGATATTAACTGACATAAAATATTTTAATAAAATATTTTTTAAAAAGTTGTGTATATATATAT